CAGCGTCGAGGCGCCATAACAGCCTCGGCGCTAGGTCGTCCTTTGGGTCGGCCCGTTACATCGTGGGTCGGACTTCCCCGATCGATGATCTCATGCTTCAATTTCTTGTCTCATTGCGGGTCATTTTTGTTCTCTATAACACCGTCCAATGCATATTTGTCCATCTATCAAATGTGTATATATATTATTATATTGTATGTTGTATGGTTTTTTTTTCTATATTTTATTTTGAGTAGTATGCATGTTGTATATAGTTGGTTTTTGTAAGAGATTGCGCTATGATATAATATAATAAGAGTATCTGTCGACCGAAAAAAATAAATAATCATTTTATGATGATCATCGTATGTTACTAATTAGATCAGATAATTTTTTTTCTTTCTTTTTTTTTGGCATAAAAATGATAGCTTATGGCTTTGTTATTTCATTGTTTCTATTAAAATTAAAATAACATTTATGTACTAGAATTAAGATATTCTGAAAAAAGGAAGAAGAAGTTCTAGAATTAAGATGAATCACTTTAAAATTAAAGTATTTTTTAAATATGGACCAAATTTTAAAAATAAAAAAATAGTTTTAAAAACTTAGGTTTTGTTTCTAAATTAGCACAGATTTAAATAAATAAATAAATATATATATATATATATTTTTTTTTTTTTTTAAGACATGACATTTCGATCGAATACATGTGTCTTAACCAGTTGAGTTAAATTCGAGATGACAGATGTATCCTAAAATTTTTATAGTTTCTATGGGATAAATAGTTAATAAGAATTATATGATATATATAGATGTATTAATTATAATTAATTAAAGTCTCATCTCAAATCATATTTTAATGTCATTGTGACATGCATGGTAGTTGGTTATGCATGGGTTGTCCATGTGAGCTATGCACATGCGGAAAGAGAGTTTTTATTTTATTTTTTCTTTTCTTTCTAAATTATTATAATATGTACAGAGAGAGAGTAGATTCACACACAGTAAGCAATTAATTGTAATTTAATGGCAATTACTTTAGTTAATTATAAGGAAGTGGTTGCTTAAGCACAATTAATGATAGTTACATCATAACATTGACGTTATGCACTATTTTCAACATTATTAATTTATTACATAATTTAGAAGTTTCTCCCTAATATAATTTTATAATCGTTTTCTTCAAAATTCTGTTGTATAGTTACATTAGACAATGATCTAATTTGAGATATACTATTTAAAAAGTTGATGATTTGATTTTTACCTCATAATTATTAAACTACATAAAGTAATTACAATTAAATTTATTTGAGTTTAAATTTTAATTTTATCAAATTAAATATCTAACTTATATAGAAGCAAAGTTATTAACCTTTTATTAGTGATTATATCAAATATGTTTACAAGTATTGGTTAATTTAATTTTATTGGATATTTTTTAGGTTAGATTTACGTGTTTTGATAATGGGGTGGATATTATTAACGTAATTACAAACATCAACTAATTAAGACATTATTTACCTCATTTTACTCCTAAGTTAAAAAAAAATAATAAATCCAGCTATCAAATGATTTCTAAAAATATAAAAAATAATAGATGAACAATATTTAACAAATCAATGGATAACAAAAGGACTACAGAAGAGTGGGAGAAAAAGTTTATAAAAGCACAATTTAATGAACATAAATATGTCTAAAAAAAAATTTTCTTTTTTTTTCAGCTCAAAATGAAGGTCCTAAGAGCGACCGAATAATTTAATCTCGCATGGACGTGACTAAGACATACAACCATATTTTCTCATATGATGATGTAGTTATTTTCACAATCCAAAGAGATTCTTCGATGGCACCAAGAAAATAATGAATCTTTCAAAGTTCAACTATACAATATCATATATATTAAAATGAAATGTGACAGACTTTGGAGAATCTTATTAATAGGGTATTTGCAAATGTACATGGGTGATGCGTTGTCAATGGGTTCATTGCATATTGAATTGTCGATTGGTATAAATTATAGTTAATTAAATTGGTTGGTACCTTCAATATATTGCTTTGGAAACCACCTAATTAATTAATTTTTGATATTCACATTCTTCCAACCATCATGTCCTATGCCATCATTTATTTATATCTATGTACATACATAAATAAATAAATATATATATATATATATATATAGTATGTTTTTAAGTGATGTGAAAGGAAACTTAACCTTATCCCTTTGGATTCCTTAAAAAAAAAAAGAAATAAAAGAGATGTATTATACAATCTTCAACTTGTACCCTATGTATTATTTTTTTTAGTTAAATATATAATTTTGTATCATTTGACTAATTGAGCATAGTTAAGTAAGTTAAAGGCATTTGTGAATGAGGTTCGAATCCACTATCCCACATGTTGTACTAAAAAAAATCGTATTTCATTAATTGCAACGCTAACTAACTTTTTTTAGTAGAACAAGTATGAGAATACGAATTAAACCTCTAACTTCTAAAAAATGAATAAGATGTCTTAACTGCTGAACTATACTCATGTACCGTAAATATAAGG